AGGAGATAATATTGTGAAAAAAATAGAGAATCGAGCTTGAAATTACTTATATTACACACGCACACATTCTCTTAGTTTTTATTTTATTTTATTTTATTTTATTTTTATTATGCTCAAATCAAAACCCTAAACCTAAATCAGACCGAAATAATGGAAACAACGCCTAATTATCACGTGTGCTTTATGAAAAATCAAATAACAATTCAATCAAACGGCATTTTGGTAAAGCTGGGAAGTACAGAGCCACGGTACTAGCTAGTGCCGTCACACGATACAAAAATCTTCCAACTCTTTTCTTAACGTGTTTTTGTAGGAGTTTATAGGTACTATGCAGCGGAAAAATCATGAATCATATTCAATCAAGTACCTAATGCCAAGATCACATGCATAACACACAAGACACATAATCATACCTTGGAAGCGTGAATTCCACGTAGCAATTTGATAGGCAAATCAGGGAGAGAACAGAGCCCCAAGCGTTGCTCCTCTACTTAGTCCACGAGCTTCGAACGAGCCGTCCACCAATACTAGACTGGTCGAGTGATTGAGGAAAACCGCGATCACCACCTTTAATGGACTAAGTCGACTACCACGATCCACCACCACCACGAACCACCATACTGGCGCCGAGGGAGCCGTGAGAGTGAGGAGAGTTTGAGAGGGTTGGTCTCGTGTTTGCTAATTCGGGTTTGATCTTACTGATCACTGAATTGCTTACATGCAAACCCTAGGCACTTAGTCTATTTATAATCACATTATAACTAGACTAGAGTTAGGAAGCCCAAAACCCTTCAATCCACTCCATATGGCCGACCATACTACAGGATGAGGCCCATCATGGGCCTTTTCCTCTCGTGCCCGATCTAGACCCTTTGCGTGACCTTATAGGATCCGTCCAATTGGGCTTTGGGCTATTTTACTAGCCCAAAGATCGTTAGTATCTCTAGCGATGATAAAACGATGACCCAAATGTACGAACTTAATTATCTCCCTAATTTGATCCATTTATATATCTAGTAATTGCACACGACGAAGACATAAATCCTTCAGTTTTCATCTTCTAGAAATGATAAAATTCAATACTGTTACACGGTACAAGAATCGCGCCAAGGTATACATGTCATGTCATGGCACATCTGCTTTCCAGTGGCACTCGTTTCTAGGGTTCTAGATTGTTTCCCTCACATTTCTTCTATAAATACGAGGCTCATTTACAAATATCAAGGCAGCAACATCAATTCTCTCTTCGTTCCTTCATACTTACAATCATTATACTTTCATTATTCATTCCCTAGGCTAGGAGTGAAACTTCAGTTTGTGGTTTGGATTTTACACCAAACCGAATTAATTCGGTTTTGGATGTTTGAAATCAAATCCAAACCGAATTTGGATTCAGTCTAATCCAATCCAAACCAAATTAATTCGATTTTGAAAATTAAATCCAAATCGAACCGAATTTTGTTAGGTATGTCGTTTTGGGGAAAGCGAAGCCCTAATAATTAATAAAAACTCAAGCAAAACCAAAATATAACCAGATTAATTCAAGCAAAATAAAGAGAAATTGCCAAATTATGAATCACATTAACCTTATTTTAGCATCTTAAAGCAACAATTGAATTCGACAGATTTATTGATATGAGCGTGGTAATTGAAGTCAACTCCCAAATATATTTCCATACAATTGTTTCCCTTGAAATTTCTTAAACCATTTCCATAAATCTTTCACTTAGCAAGAGGCTCTAAGCTAACATCACCGTTCCATTTCTCCAAATTTTAAATGAATAAATATCGAAGTCTTCCTTCAAGAGAAACCTAAATGAGAAAGGGATTAGAGGAGCAGTGGATCGTAGGAGACTGAGAATGAGAATCAAGGTGGAGTGGTGGAGCCGGTGGTCGATGACTAAGAAAGTGGCTAGAGAAAGTGGTTGTCTCACTGAGAGGCTGAAGTGAAAGAATTAGGAAGGGAAAATGAATTAGGGTTTCTATTTAGAGGTTTAATGGGCTGGAGAGTTAGGCTTTTTAAAAAAGTTCGATTATTTTAAATTTCGAGTTTTTTAAGCTTAAAACCGAAATTGATTTGCAATCCAATTTTTTTAAAATCCCGAACTGATCCAAACCATATTGTTAAAATAAAAATCCAATTTGAATTGTTAATTCGGTTTGGTTTGGTTCGGTTGCGGATTTAATCCATATTACTTTCACCCCTACCCTAGGCACTGCAAGGAATTGTACAATTTCGAAGTTCCATACTTAAACCAAGGCGTGAAAGTGTGAAAGGTAGCTTTGTTTGAGGGTTTAAACCAATTCAACTCTACTTTAATGGAAATTTTGTCAAAAACTACCAATTAAAGAGCGTGTTTTGAAAACAACTACCTATTAATAATTTCTTTATTTTTAAAACAACTACCACAAATTTGTAAAAAGTTTAAGTAGCACTACCACTCTAATAATTCCATCTAGAATATTCGACATGTAGGTTCCACTTTTTACCTTTACCTCATAAAATCACCATCTAAATTGACTAAATTACCCTTTATAAAGGTAAAAAGTGATAAAAAGTGAGACAAAAATGCCAAAAATGTTAGCCAAAATTGTTAGAGTAGTAGTGCTACTTAAACTTTTTACAACTTTGTAGTAGTTCTTTTTTGAAAAATAATTAATAAGTAGTTGTTTTCAAAACACATGCTTTAATTGGTAGTTGTTGACAAAAGTTCCTACTTTAATTTAATTTCATTTCGATTTATTTATTCTTTGAAGTTACTAACGCTTTATTTATGATGTAGCAATTTCAAGAAACACGAAACATGAGTAATTTATACAATTAATTACTTACTCTTGTTTTATATTAATTACTAATATCGTGTTTAGGTTTTGAGTTACGTGTTTAATGATTTGACTAACAATTTTATGGTTAAATTGCTTCAAATTTTATTGTTTTTTCTATGTATGTTGATCACCATATTGCATGCTTAAAGAGAATATGTAATTGAAAATAATAAAGATAAAATGTAATTGAAAATAACAATTAATAAGATAATTTGGACGACCGGTTTGGTTCCTTTTTAATCTTATATTTAATTGAAGTGATCACTAATATCTAAAATTATGTGTGCATTTATATTCAACCAATTTAACCTAATCTAGTTTGGAGTATATTGAATCTTTGTTTGTATGCATTTGAGATCGCAGGAAACACTTTTCATTATAAGAATCAAGTATAGTCCAATATAAGTGAAGTTGTCTTCCATGACTCACTTCGTACCATTATCCCCGATCTTTCACTTCGTACCATGACTCACTTCGTACCATTATGAAAGGAGTACTATTAAATTGCTATAAATCTTTCAAGAAGGAAACATTTTACAACATTAAAAATTGATTTAGGGCTTGTTTTGATTTACTGAACTGAGCTTAACTAAACTAAATAGAACTAGAATGAATTGTTTATGAGAGAAGGAAATTGAAAACTGAATTGAACTGATTAGAGCTGAGCTAAACTGAACTAAATTGAACAGAAACTTAGCTGAAGAGAACATACCCTTATTAATTAATGTAGGCTTACATAGTTACATGCATTCTAAAAATTAACATGCTATTGTAGTTTTATCTTGAAGTCTTTGAATGAGGATCAAACTCATTTTTATTGTTTTTTTAAGGAAAAATTGTTAAAAACAACCTTTTAAAGCAACCTCTTTATTAGAAACAACCTTATAAATTTTTTTAGGGAAATTCTCATTGGTAGCAATGTAAAATTGCACATTTTTAATGGTAACAAATTTTTTTTTTTACAAATTCTCGAAAATAGCATTACTTTTGATAAATTTCTCTAATATGACAATATTTTTCTAATTAACAAATATTGAGCTTAATTAAACATTTTTTTTTAAACAAATACCAATGAGAATTTTTAAACAAATACCAATGAGAATTTTGTTACTTCAGACCTGATTACAAATTTTTTTTTGTTAAAGACAACCTAAACCCATTTTTTGGTGTTGACCCTTTAATTTCCGGCATTGACCATAGTGTATGTGCCACTGCCACATGACCTCTTATTATCCTAAATGCACCCCTTTCCCCTCCAAATCACTCAAATAAAACCCCTATTCTTTAACTCCCTCAATTTGGAAATAAATTAGTGTTCGTCATTCACTTTGCAACTCATCTCTGTAGTTACAAGCTCCATTAATGAAGACTTCCCAAATAGTGTAATAATTTGTTGATGCAAGTCAAACAAACTTTCTTCTTTTATAGTTTTTTTTTTCTTCTTTTGTACGTTTTTTTTTAACCATGGTTAAAAACAAAGGGAAGAGGGAGCTTACATCATTGTCTAGGAGGTTTAGAGGGACCACAAAGTATATTTGAATATTTGATATCCTTCAAATAAACCATGACTACTGCATAATTGATAAATCGCTAGTCAATTAATCGATTTGAAAAATTGGGGGGGGGGGGGGGGAACAAATTTCAGTAATACCCAATTTCTAAAATAATTTTAATATATTAAAGAAGGAGAGGCACAATACCTGGTTCAAAATTAAGGAATTACTTGGTTGAAGACTTTAAATTGTAGAAACAATTAGTTTTTATTTTTGTTCTTTTTTTGATGAGAATTTTTGTTAGTAATTAATCCTCGAAACTTTGTTGTAGAGAAAGGATGAAATTAAGGAAATGAGAGAGGGACTTTTTAAGTTGGAATTTGGAGGGGAAAGGGGTGCAATTAGTAAAAGTAAGGGTCACGTGACAAGCACACTAAAGCCAATGACAGAAATCAAAAGGTCAACACCGGAGAGTAGGTTTAGGCTGTCTTTGACAAATAAATTTTGTAATCAAGTCTGAAGTCACAAATTTTTTTTTATGAGGTTGTTTTTGATTAAATGGTCACTTTAAAAGATTATTTTTGTTCCGTTTTTCAATCATATATTGTAAATTGTAAATAATATTTTGTTATATGGTGCACAATTACACATTATACAAATATGGAGTAATACATAATTATATACCAATATCTTTAAACAACTTTCTCATTTCTACCAAAAAGTCAAAAAAAGAAGCTCAAGTTCCATTCACTCTTTCACCGTGGAACGTGGGCTATATAATAAATTAAATTTACATTAGATAAACTGATGCTATAATAAATTGATGTAGCCCAAGTATAAATTCCGTGAGTAAAATTATTTTTAAAGTGAAATCTTCAATCAGTTGTTGGCTAATGGCTACCTATCTAATCTTCTACAAACAATTTCAGAGGATTTTTGCTAGAAGAATGCATAAAAGGGTATTAGACCAGACCAAGGGCCTCTGCAGCACTTCTTGGACTCCCTTCACCACAGATACTGACAAAATTTGTCAGTAGCAACTCCCGGTGCTCTGGTTTCAAGTGTTTCTGAAGACCCCGAGCCACCATCTCCATCTCTGGCTGCAAAAACATACACACCTTAAATATTAGAGTGAACATTACAACGGCAAGAGTAGCTACAGTTGAACAATCAGCACCACTTTAAATCAGAATGCTTCTTTCTGGTATATAAAAAGCCTTATTAGAGGTAGGGGAGAGAAGACGTACAGAGAATGGGAAAGATATGAAATCACTAACTTTAAACAGGAGACCATTAAGCAAGCATAAAGCCATATAAAAGTCAAAGCAACAACACTACAACTATATTACCTCAAATGGCTCTAAAAGGCTCCTGCTTTTTAGTGGGGAGAGAGGGATCACATGTATGTGGCCTTACCCCTAATCTAATGCATAATAACTGCCTGCTATTTCATAAAAAGTAAATGCAGGAGGTTTAATAGGTTACTTTTAGGTAATTAATTATAGTCCAAGAACAAAAAAAAAAATACTGTACAAACATTTGACTCCATTGAATGTGAGCTTACAATGCCGTTGTATAATGGCCACAAGAAACCCAATTTTTTTTTCATTCATATAGTTTGATTATTTTCTGTTAAAGTTCTTTAACATACAGATAAATTCAAGCATGACCCATAAACAGTCTTTCGCAGCCCATGCACACATATACGTTGTAATAATAATCCAAAAGCAACTAAGCAAATATACATACAGAAGAAGGTTCTGGTGGAAATATCTGATGAATTAGACATATTTTCTTCAATTCCTCCATAGCTTCAGAATGTTTTGCTTGCATCTCCAAGGCCTGAAAAAAGAGGGAACAGAAAACAACACTAGAATCAGTCCATTCAAAACATTAGACATGGATGTAAATTGAAGCCCAAACACAGGAACTTCGTATTAAAATCAAGAATAAAAATCAGGGTCACCACTTCCATGGTATAATTCATCACAATTCACAAGTAGGCAAGTACTCCTATTGAAACTCATTTCTTAGGCTAATAGTGAAGTGTCTGAGTGTATATAATCCATTAGGAGATTTAAGTATCAGACATAGTTACTTGAGCAAAAATGAAGAATCCACGCATCATACAAGTCCTGTGTATAATGGAGACCAACTTTGAGCCATAAATTAAATGACTTCACATCAATTAAAGAAATTATATACGAGTAGTATATAGCCTGAAAATTACAAGGAAAACCCCATATAAATACAACAAAGTATGATTCATCCATAACTTCTAACATTTTCTGCACCAATGTTTCATCATAAAATCTTGATGGATGCTGAAGTGTGGTAAATGCATCAATTATATTTCACTAAAAATGTTTTGCAAGTATAAAAAGGTTGGTCAAATTAACATAATGTAAAATAATAAGAACAAAACAAATGATATTACAAACAATTAAGATTAAACATTGATAATTAATAACATTACCCAAGCCTGTAAAAACCATTGGCGTGTTTGAGCAGCAATAGCAGCAGATACAATTGTTGCTGCTCGAGGATTAGAGAGACCTACATCATAAGCAAGCCCAGCTACAAACAGACGAGCATCTTCACCATCAATTTGGACTGAAGGACTTCCTGCCCTGCAAAATAACTTAATATATCTTAAAAATTTGGGGAGGTCTGGAAGTGCATTAGATCTGGAAAATTGTAAGCGGATGTTAAAAGTGAAAATGACTAATACCTACAACAAGTGTTTATGACATTGTGCACAGCTAGACGATAAAAAGAGTCTCGGGCATTCTCCGTTCCGAAGGAGAGCTGTACTCCAGAAATTTTACAAATCCTATGCAGCTGCTCATCCCGCCAACCAAATTAAAGAAAAACAAAATAGCCATTCCAGTCAATAATTCAAGTGAATAATAAAAACAGCAACACAAAGTACAATAGTACACACACTCTTTTAATTTAGCATTTGAACGTTCAAATAATTGATAAGAGAAAACATATAGGTTCTATCGCTCCTAGTTGAAGCTGTTGTGTTAGAATCCAACCTCCTTTCAATGTATTCTAGGACTTTTCATCAAGGTATTTGGGCGTTAGACGTAATTATTATATTAACACCAATCAAATGAAGGAAAATAAATTGTAATTGCAAATTAAAGCTATTTATTTGGTTAGGCTTTTATATATAATGTGCTGCTACATTTGTAATAAAGGCTTCCTACCCAAAGTCGCTTTTGCTATAATGTTTGCATTGAGTTAATTAGGCCTTTATAACATGCCTACACTTTTAACAAAGCACCCTAAACTCATTAAAGCTTTGCAAACTCAAAATTCTTCTCGTTTGCTTATGCCTGCTATGTGCACACAAGCACTATGATCATTGTCTCTGTTCTTGACGCCACTAGGCAAGAGTTCCCCTTCTTACAGTAAATACCCACAAGGGTTGCTATGTGCACACAAGTCTCTTTCTGCACCAGGCTTGCACCCTTGCCAACACATTGGCAACAGTGCCACACAATCTGGTGTCTAAGCACTTAGACCATGACACATTACATCATAACTTATTATTTTATTTTTTTTAAGATAATATTCTTCTACCATAAATAATTGTTATCACAATTTAGCACAAGCAAAGTGAATTCCCACTTCTTGTAATATCATCTATAATAATTGGAAAACTAGTGTTTATCACAAGATGATTAAAAAAACAGATTATATTCATAACCACACTCCTCAATATCAAGTGTTGGGGATTTGGGATTATCAAGAGCTTCATCTAGAAAATCACACTAAAGCCTTATCTGCAGCGCAACCTGGTAAACAATGATCGACGTTATTGAAGAAACTTTTGTTAAATGCTGGGACCTTCTGGACTGAAACTTTTATCACATATACTCTGAAGTAGGGCTGGCAATCCCTGACCCGACCCGATAACCCGAATGAACCCGACGTGAAGTTACTGAGAGAAACCCGAACTCGAATAACCCGAATTCGACCCGATTTGGCCAAAATTTCATATTTCGTAATAATATTAAGTTTTACACTATTTTTTTTATTGTTTCTAAGCATAACCCGAAATCGACCCGAAATCTGACCCGAACACAACCCACTGACCTGAATTGCCACCCCCTACTCTGAAGTAATGCATCAAGGAGGGGTAGTAAAAGTCAAACTAAGGAAAATAAAAGTGAGTGAAGATGGTGATTAACGGGAAGAAGTGGTAGTAAAGAAATATAGTGTTAATATAAAGGAGAGGGAATGATTATATGAATTATTACCATCCTAATGGGAGTAATCGTTACCCACCTCTACCCTAGGACAACTATTACCCTCCGTATGAAAGAAATAGCTTTTCCCTCTCATCTTTTGTCATGACACATTCATTACTTCATCCCCCCTACAACCATCTCTTCTCAGCTTCATTTTCTTCTTCTTTTTTTATTTTTTATTATTTTTTTTTATACGCCTGCTGTCCCTATTAAGTTGACACACTTTCCCAGTAGGGCCGTCCCAATTTAGTTGGGACACTTCTACTTTTTTCGATCCCACTATTTTTTAATGTTTCCTCTCACTTGTTATGGGTCTCACATTTTTCCCAACTTCTCTGAAAACAATTCCCACACCCCACTAACTACAATAAAAAAAACTACACCACTACCAACATTTACATAATAAAATACTAGAGTTGAAAAATATATCTGAAATTCTATGTGGTCAAACCATGTCAACTAAATAGGGCCGGAGTGAGTACCTTCTACAGCATTGCCTTTCCTTACATAGCAATGGAGCGAGTTTATGACCCCCCCCCCCAAAAAAAAAAAAAAAAAAAAAAAAAAAAGAGCCTGGAAAAAAAGTTTACCAAAATTTGAGAGAAGTAAAAAAGCAATTACTTAAGTCATCTATATCCACCACAATTTTACTGCAGGAAGAAGTTTAAAGCAGCTATAACCCTAAAGAAACTCAAGATTATTTGCAAAATGCCAAAACAAACATGTTCATAACAGAATTTTATAGTTATAACTTATAAGATAAAGACGAATAGCATAAGAAACCACTGACTTCAAGTATATCTTCCTCTGAGACGTCCTTTCCTCTCAATTTATCATCCATGATTGCTGGAAACAGGCCAACGAATCATGATTTGAAGGAGAAAAGTATGATTCTAACATTTAGACAGGCTTGAAATGCATGCATTTACCTGTTCAAAAGACAAACAGCAATCAATCACACAATGTTGACACCTTGGGGAGTGTAAAAAGTATACAACAATGAGGGAAGATCGAAAACTAAGCATTACTATGGAATATGGACACACAGCACAAAGGTACCTGTTTTTTCAAATAACATAAAGGTAAATTAATCATTTATTCACAAGAAATAAAAGACTAAGAGAGAGGAGTATTAGATTAGAACCATGTTGGACTCTATTTCACAAAAAAGAAACTAAGTTTGACAGGAGCTTTGCCACGGGTCATCTCTCTCCCCTTCCCCCACACGACCCCAACAGGAATTTTCACTATGTATGATCTCTATCTCCCCCCTCATTAATGTGAGATGTATAACTGTATAAGTACCATGTCAACTGTGACATGATCTCCACTTCGAAATTTAACAAAAGTTGCTCACTTCCCTATTACAGCCATATGTTATTAGCTCAAAGAGGCCGCTTGCTGCCTCCTGATAAAGCTTGAACCATAAAGAGGTCCAAAGTTTGTCTTGACATAATCCATAGTGTAATAGCTCATGTTAACATAAGCCAACTAGTAGATATTGTCCTCTTTGAGAGTTAAGGAATTGCTTTGATGCGGAAGTCCTCCCCCCCATATGAGAAAGGGTTCGTTCCCTAAGATAGTAAATAGCATTATTCACTCTTTAGATCTTCAGGGCAATTGATAGCAGCAAACAACCTGTCAAATTTTCTAATCCAATATTCAAGGCTTATAGGGTCTTCCTTTCCAAGAAAAAGGGGTGATATTGCGAGCCACTAATTGGAAGAATAAACTAACATGCGAGCCACTAATTGGCCTGTTAAAAACTTTAACTAACAAGCAGGCACTAATTGAATTATCCCAAACAAAAAAACTATAAAAACTTGCCATCTGGGGCATTGATTGAAAACATTAAAAATAACTAGTAAAATATCAACAAATTGTCTTCCAAATCATAATCTGCCTTGCTTGGATCATAGTCTAGATCATTTACCTTTGATTCACCATCCGCTCAGTAACCTCTAACGGGTGAACTTGGTGTATAAGAGGCTGATGGGTAAGATAAATAATTTAGGCTAGTTCTTTGACGAATTGGGCTAGGAACAAATATTGGTTTAGGCCCCAAACAAATTGGAGAAATAGGTGTGCATTTGGGCTTGGTTCTCTAGGCTTTGAAGTATAAGGTTCATGCTTGGCCCTTTTTGAAATTGGAAAGGCTTTGATGCCTACGAGAAGTAACAAATGGTTCACTTTTTGTAATAGACTAACCTTAAGAGGGCGATTTGGGAAGTCTAGTATTATTAGGTTAGTAGATTTTTAGCATTAGTATAAATAGAGAGAGGGGAGGAAGAAGAAGTTAGGCAGAGTTTTGGAGTGAATCCTTGAGAGAGTTGTGACCTAAAGTCACTATTTGGAGATGGAGAGTTGTGAGTCTTGTGACCTCAAGTCAATAATATGAGCTTGTAGGCTAAACCTACTACCTTTTGTAAGAAACCATTAATCCGTTTAATCAAATTTCCAAGCTTTCTGCTTTAAATTTCCTCTTAATCAGTAAAGCATACAACCAGATTACCAGTCTATAACACTTTCTCAGGTAGAAATAACAGAGTTTTCATCAGGATTCCACTCATGAATATGGTTAATATTTGGAATGTCAAAATCTTCCGAAGATTGATGAGATAAACAAGTACGTGGTCTAGCAGGTGGCAATTGGGAGATCATGTAGTTAAGTTTGCTCTTCTAATGATACTTCAAATACTTCCACCTCTCTCTCGAGGGTATAATGTGCAAGGAATCAGCCCAATACACGCTTCACTTATTCTAGAAGGCTCAAGAATTAATCAGAATGCTGAGTTGGAAGTTTGTTAAAATCAGTTTTGGGAGAAGAGGGTAAGATAGTAATCTATATGAAAGTTTGTTATGAGTTTGTTATTTTGGTTTCTCTTAGCAACAGCTTGCTGAATGAGGTATTAATAGGTGTTTGGGGTTAAGGGGAAGGCATCAGAAAATTAATTGTGAGGTTTGTTGTGTAGGAGAGTTCTTTCTTCTCGAATTGAAGGCATTGTATTGCTAAATACTCTGTTTAGTAATACAAACATCCCTTGGCTGCTATTTTCTCTCTCTAATTAGCTGATTTACTTACTGTTTTCATACTAATCTCTAGCATAATGCAAATCAGTTTTAGAGTTGGTCAAAGTTCCTAACCATTTTCCCTCATGCAAGTGTCTCTCATCATTCCAAAATCCGTTTCGTTACATCACATCTCTATGTTTGCGAATAATAGGCTCACATGTATAAGTGTCAGGCAAATGAACTAGACCTAAGAGAACCATCCAAGGTGCACAACATACCACATAATATGTGTACTAAAATCGCTCACAGCAAGACCATCATCCTAGCCACTACCTGAAAAGTACTAGTCGACATGATAGTTCTTCCCAACAATAATAAGATTTTGATTGAATTAGCATGCTAGCCACAATCTGAAAAGCTCTGGCAGTAATGTTGTCCACGTAACAAAATTGTCATAATGCAGAATGGCTCATTTTCTCATTGACCATTAATGTTCTCATTAACATATAATATTATGAATGTATGCATTCTTCGGATGGATCATTATAGTAAATGGTTTGATCCAAAGCTTAATTATGTTTGCTCTAGTTCAGCTACTCCTTACATACATCTTACTTACTGCATCAGCATACATAACAAGAATTTCTTTGACGAATACTCCAATTAATATTGACTCCTCATCACCCACATTTCATTTAAGAATGATAAAAAAAAAACTACTAGCAGAAGTCATGGACATTAAGAAAAAACTAAGCAATTACTTTCACACCACATTTAATCACCAATACAAAATCAACTATCATTAACAAAGCATTGTCTGAGTCCTAAAAACACGAACCTTGAACGAGTTTGTTGGCCGCACTCCGGTACTCCTCCCTCAGCACTTCCACAACAGGTCTTGGACTAATAACTGGCCACCAACCGGGCAACTTCCGCTGCGGCTCCTTTCGTATCGAGTTCCTCGACATTCCCTCCGAACCCCGTTCATTCAACTCAAGATCACTCTTTCTGTCAACCCCCTCCACAACTCTCTTCTCAACCACAACTTCTCTGCCACCCAAACTCCTATCCCTCCTCGTAACAACCTCCACCTTAATATCCCCACCTCTCCGACGCAACCCTAACCCTAGATTAACCAAAACCCTAACAAAAACAACACTAACAAAACTCCAAAGCACAACACCACCTACGAATCGAACAGTCGACTCAGAACACGACACAACAATTCGATTACTCCCAGGTTCAACAACAACAAGACTACGTAAATCATAATAAGCATCAATTCCAGAAGACACAAATTGATGAAACTTCAATTCACACAAATCAATTGTTCGTTGAAAAGAGAGTGGTGTTTTGGATTTCAATTGATCAACATCAAGTACAAATTGAAGTTTACCAGAATCAGAAGATGAAGAATGGGATTGAGAAGAGTCGTTTCGCTTGTTAGGGTTCCGGCGAGTGGAGCGCCGGCGCCGGCGACGAGGAGAGAAGGCGCAAGAAATAGGGATGACGGAGGTTTTGGGTTGCCATTGATGGTGTAGTTGAGGTTGGAGTATGGAGTGTGGGACTGAGAGGTAGAGGTTGGGGTAATGGCGGAGTGAGGTTGCGGAGTTTGCCGCCATTGGAGGTGGAGGAGAGAGAGTGTGAAGGTTGGTTGGTAGTTGCAGTGGAGCGGGAAAGAGGTTAGAAGGAAGGAAATGTGATTGAATTGAGGGCATAGTCTTACCCAAATACTACGTATGTGGTTAGATTAGTTGGTTGGATACGGCTCGTACGAGGGCTAGTGGTCATGTCACTAGTGTGGACTATTGGCTCGGACTCGGAAAATGCGGTTCATGGTGCATGTTAAACTTCAGAGACGTTGAGTCTTTGATAGTGACAACATTACTCCCTCCGTCGTATAATAATTGACACACTTGACTTTCAACATCTTTTTTGATATTACAATAATATACGTTAAAATAATTCCTAAAATAATTGACTCAATTGACTTTTACCATTTTTTTTATTTTATAATAATATACGCTAAGATAAGTTCTAGAATAATTGACACAGTTGACTTTTAACAATTTTTTTGATATTATTATAATATACGCTAAGATAAGTCCTAGAATAATTGATACACTTGACTTTTAACCATATTTTTTGATATTAATATATGCTAAGATAAATTCAACAATAACTTATTTATTAATACGAAGTAGTTTAATATATTTAATATAAAAAAAATGGTCAAAATTGAGTAAAAATGTCAAGTATATCAATTAAAGACAAAGGGAGTATATATGAACTTACAAAGTAATAATTTGTGCCTTTTTATCATTGAGGATGCCTAATTGATCTCCTTAATAAACAAAATTGTTTATCGATTGACAAAGTCGTAAATATCTTAGTTGTGGGAATATTTGTTAGATCATGTGATTAGAGTCATTTGACACTTACTTTATATAGTATGCGAATTTGTCAAACAATTGATTTGCAATTCTTTGTACAGAAGGCTAGAAATTATGCTCAAGATGTTTGATTATGAAGGGAGATTCATGTTGGGCTATTGGTCCCTTTTTATGTGGAAAAACTCATTTGATGTGGTGATTATTTTGGGGCAAGTAGTATAGCTTATACCCAAATGTAAAGCCTTCTTAAATAAATAAGCACATCTTTTATTAACTTTTGGTGTGCCTAAGTGCCTTACCGAGTAAATTGTGTGGGTAACAAAAGTTTTGTATAACTTGTTGAACATAATCCTATTTTCTTGTGACATTTTCTCAATTTCTTCCTCCGTAATTTAGCTTTTATGATTGTTGATATTGGGTAGAGTACCCACTTTTAAGACTTGAAATTGTGTTTGTGTAACATTCCTTTATCATAATAAGAGCAATTTGGTGGACTTCCTAATTGTCCCATGGTGTTTACTTTTCTTTTTAAAAGGGTTTTCCACATAAACATCTTGTGTTCCTTTCTTGGTTGATTGTGCTCGTTCTATGCTATATGTTGCAGTCTTTTATGTATTGATATTGCTAGTGTATTGATCTTGGAGAATATATCATATTGCTAGTGTTGGTGTTACATTGAACAAGTATGGTGTGACGTTGAACAAACTAGTAGTATCGTGTGTTTACCTCAACAATTCAAACCCGAAATAGATTCTCAACTTCTCTGTGGACCTTGTAATTTATAGTATAAAAAACCTGTATGGGATGAACTCATTGAGCTGCAAAGTATGGAGCTGCTCTTCTCACAATCTCACATGACCAACATGGATCATTGCTTTGCTCCAAGCTTCATTGCAACCCCATAAACGGAAAATTTGTCTCTGCAGCTCTGCCTGTCAAAACTTACTTGCTTTCTTGTAACATAATGACAATTTTTTGGGCACATATACAACTCAAGTTCAATGTGAAATTCCATAAAAACTCTTCGCGTCTTATAAGTTGTGTTCAACTCACAACTATCCATTACCTGAGTACATCAAGACATCAAGCTCTCCCGAAAATTTCTAAGCTGTGCATAGCCTGGTTTTCACATTATAGGAATCATTAATTGAACAATCCCAGCAAAAATCAGTATCCTTGGACTCTTTCTGATCTTCTGAGCAGCGTCCTAGAAATTTTCTAACATCGCTGATCAGGCTATATAACTGGAAGAGTCATTTAAAGTTCACAAATATGTGCATTGTGATTAAATGCCTTGACATTGCCCAAATTGCTTTTGGGGCAGTGCGGGAAGCAATTCAATACCCAAGTATGCAGAGCAGAATCAACCTAACACTATACATGCATTGACCAAGGAAGAAATTGGCGGACAAAAAACATCATCAGTGCTAATACAAACTACAGTGTAGTACATGTTAAGATGAAGAGGATGTTGAGCACTTGCATTTTTTCAACAAAGCCGCATCTGAAAAGGACATTGACCAGCATAGCCTGTAGTATAATTAGTCCTTGGCTCCTTGGTTCTTCACTCCAAATGCTTGCCATGCTACCACCAGCGGTAAGCATCTCTGGGTGCAAGCTTGAAGCACCTCATTTTTGCTACCTGGTAAGGACTTCAATGATGGCAAACACTCAATCCTTTATAGGGAAAGGAGACCAGGGGTGAGTAAGACAGCAGCAGAGAGACTGAGAGATGGAGATTGATCAAGCATGGACAACCGAACCATTCAGTGACCAGGATGATCTGCATGGAATGTTGTTAATTCTGTTTTTTCGAAGAGAGTACGGATCAATTCCTGCCTTGTGAGCTGCAACAACTCCTATAGCTTCCCAGTAATTTGAAACATTCACCTGCAGAGAGATCATGAGTCAGTAAAATTGAAGTATAGTTGGTGGTTTTTTCTTTTTTTTTTTAGGCGAACATAGTAAAGTTATACAGTACTAGAACTCAGGTAGTTAAAGAAAGGGAGGCTTCTGTTGATGCGAATGTGAGAATAGAAAAAGATTTAGAGGTACTTCTAGCTACACTGGCAGATTGTCAAAGCACTATCATTCCTAATTTTAAACTGGCAGATTCAAAGCACTGAAGCAATCTCATTTACAACATGTACTTTTCTTGTAATAAACAAAGTAAAAAAAAATTCAGCTGTTAAAAAGCATAATATTGTTATATCAGAATTATATGAAAGGTCCTACTAAAAGTACCTTGAAGTGGAAAGATAAAACTATTCAAAAAAAAAAAAAAAAGTGGAAAGATAAATGAAGCGTAATGATTTGCAAACAATGAACTGCATAGTGCATACCGTTTCAATTTGAAGACTGTCAGGTGTGTCACTGAGAACAGTTGTATTCTCTTCGACAGCAACTATTAGAGGCTGCATAAAGTTATAGTCAGAAAATCACACATAAAATATCAAATCAATTATTTCTAAAATGACAAGCAGTCAATATCAACAAAAATATGGCAATAACTCGGTGGCACTCCACAAGTAATGAAAGATCCTTGTATATGGGTGAGAATGAAAAACATAATCTCGTTCAGTCCATGCCTTGTTTCTTTTCTTTCTTGCAAAAGAAAGAACACCACTTCCAGCACAAGCATCTATGGGAAGGATGACGCTATCAACATCATTTGCAAAAATGCAGCCTTTCTCCATTACATCTGAGCCAGTAGCCACATACTGTGGAGCATTACTAAGCCCGGCGAGCACACATGGCAAGAATGTGTATCCAATCTGTTCAACAGGAAACCAAAGAAGTTCATCAAAAAAATCATGAAGGGCAATAAAAACAAAATTAAGTTGCAGTGCCAACACCATAAAAAAAGTTGGACATCAAAGACATGAATGAAATCTGTTGGATCCATATGCGACTAAAAGGACTGTAAACTTGGAGAAAATCCATAACCTCTTCAGCAGCCGATTTGGGAGAAAGTGATTGGTTTAATGGAACAGGTAATAGAGCTGGAGCATGTGCGCAAGGAATTTGGAATTCTTTCACAACTAAATGACTTATAATAGCCTCTACTCCAGCCAAGGTATCAACTCCCTGCACAATTCAGAGAGGCCAATCAGCTATCTCAAAGGATTTCTCTGCACATATTGAGATACAAGTTCAAATTCTTTGTGGATGCACATACTATAACTTAATCCATTTAGCAGAGCTAAAAGGATCGCGAATATTTAACTTTTGTGCTTAAGATTATAGTAGAGGAAATTGTCAGACAAATATCTTTTGTACTGTTCATTTTCTAATCAACAGTCTATCCTCTTTACAGTCAATCAAAGACTTCAAACATGATCGATTTCCCAAATGCACAACAAGTCATCATCAAGAACCCCATATGTGAGGTACAGCAATAGCAGTACTTTGATGATACATGGTAGGTAGCCTTAGATGTAAATAAATTTATAAAACTAAATCGCAAACAAGGACTTAGATGCAGAACCATACAATTCCTTGACGATAATCATGCATGCTGTCTTCATCTTCATCAGGAAAGCGGCCAACAACAGCAACAGCGTTCACTTGTGATCGATCTACCAAACTCCGTACAGCTCGTAGCAGAGAGTCAGGATGCTTTACTCTCCCAGTTGACTGCCCAGTCTTTGGATCAATCCATTTTTCTACCTATATAACAAACAGTTTATACTCTAGCAGATAAAAGGATCATGGTACATGGTAGGAAAACTTGTTACATGTCATTTCTAACTAAGGGCCTGTTCACATTTACTGAACTGAGCTGAACTGAACTGATTGGAGCTGAACTGAACTAAACTGAATTGAGTTGAAATGAATATTTTATGAGAGAGGAAAATTAAGAGCTGAACTGAACTGAACTAATTGGAGCTGAACTGAACTGAACTGATTAGAGCTGAACTGAACTAAACTAAACTGAAATTAAGTAAATGTGAACAGGCCCTAAATAGAGTTTATCAAAACAAAGCATGTGCCTCGTAGATTGTTCATAACAAATAGAAAGAGAGACAAAATGACATAACTCTGTATGCAAGAAATAGCTTAATGAAATAACGACTCCCCTCCTTTTCATGTCTTTATTTTATCCACATATAACAATGTAAGTCACTGTCTAAAATCAATATATTTATTTCCTCTATCTATAGTCTTTAATATAGATTTAACATAATGATGTAATAGTCAATTGCTCTTTTACTAATTTAAATACTAGATTGATGCCCTAACATCTTAGTTATCCTCTATTGTGAAATGGGGAATAATATTTGTCACAAGGAACTACAATTTTAATTTTAAGGTGATGATTAGGGAGATAAGGAAGATGAACAAAGGATTAAGAACACTAGCGAGGAATGTTCTTAAATTAGATAACTTGATAAAAGGACAATAGTTGTGGGAATAATTTTCCAGACAATCAGACTGTAGACAGCTTTAGCTGCTTGCTTATGTGACATGTCAATATCATTGCATAGCAGTGTGTCTGACAATACCTGATGTTTCTCAAGCCGTGTGAAAGATCCCAATAAACAATCTCTACAAAAAAACTGTAGACCACACTTACCAACTTAATAAAGAACAAGACAAGATGAAACTATGGATAATACAATGAGCTACTAAAGGGAAATTGGCAAATCAAGAGAAGAAAAGCGAAAGACAAGTATAAGGAAAAAGTCTTAACCCACTCCATTGTGCCAATTATACCTTTTTCTCACCATATCCACATTTCTGTTCCCACTAATTGAATATACTTGTTTAAGGCACAGTTCTTACAAACAATTCAACCCATTTCACTTTCTTTGTAGATTATCATACCTCAAGAGGCTTGTCTGTGACAACATATTCTAGAACAGGCAATCCAAGGGAAGCTCTTGCAGCATCAGCAACCTGCAAATGGCGCATACGGAGATCCATTTCTATGCCAGCGTCCAAAACTAGTCCAACCTGATTACATCCAAAAAAGTAGCATGAATTAAAAATGTTGCGATAGAAGCTATTTATAAAGTGAGCACAGGAACTTTGCTAGCATACTGTAAAAAAGAGCGTCAGTACTTAGAAAAACCAAAGATGATATGCATTAGATGCACACCTTATTTTGGTGAACTGGCTCAAGCGCCCATAAGCCTTCAGCAAACTGGTCCAGAGCATAACCTTCCACATATAATATATTTGGAACGGGCCAGTAAAGCATGGCTGCATTTAGAACCTGTAGACATATGTCAAATTTCTTGGAGCAGAGTCTATCACATCATCCATTGTACTAAAACCGGCCAGAGGGCAACCACCCCTACATAAATTATTAATTATGCACATGATTGTCCATTTGCATTGTCAAAATTCCAAATTCCAAAAGATGATAAGTTTACTTTAAATAAACTATGAGTGCATGTTAAAACTTTCTTTGATGGAAAAATCTCCAGCGCAATAAAGGCATATTTCCTCTTCTTTTTATCTTCTTTTGCTTCAGATTAGTACTTTTTTATATTGGACCATATACGACAAACAGATGAATGAAAAGGACTCAATAGCTAAATACCCAAGGGTGACCGATGATTGTAATGAAAAAACAACCTTCTATGATACTCCATACAACATAATATGGCCTTCTCAATTCATAATTTCACAAAAATTCAGATGTTTCAACCATTTCAACTCATAATTAGGGTGTATTCTATTCACCCGATTTTCACTTATGAACTTATTAACACCTATTTTAGTTGTAATTTGTACTTGGATAACCCTTATCAAAACTTATTTTTCTTAGATTGAACTTAATTGACTTAATACACCTGAAATAAATGAAAATAAGGTGAACAGAAGGCTCTTACTTACAATGCTTAAATCATGACTAAGATAACACTAAATATGCAAGTTGAGTAGGGTTGGGTTGGGGTTTGTAAACTACAAGTCGAATCATTTACAGGTTGATAAATTTCCAAATCTCTAGGTATATCATGTCATCACTAACCCCAAAACCACATCAACATACTACCCATGTCTTTTTTTTGATAACAACATACTACCCATGTCTAATTCTATGTAATGCCATTTTCACAATTTATCCTAAAATTAAACACATCATATTATCCCTTACTAAACAAAGATGATAAAATAACCGAAAACTCGAAAGATAGAATTATTACATTCGGATGAGATATGAGGCAATCAACAACAGACGCAAGCGCACGCGCCACCGGTAAAGCATCACCGGCGTAACCACCAATGGCAGCTCCGACTCCCGTTGGCACAATCATCACACTCGTATATGGCCGCTTAAACTATAACAAAACACAAACAAAGTTTCAAATCAATCAAATGCATAACAATATTATAGTAAGAAAATAATCCATGTAAATTGAAATTATACTTGCAATTTAAGTATATTAATAACATAATAGTGAAGAAGCTGACCTTGTTGGGTGGGATGTAAGAATTGGAGCAAGAAAATGCATTTGGAAGGTTCAAAAATGGTGATTTATGGGGTTTGAACAAGGTTGGAAATTGGGTGGTGGAACAAGAAGGAAAGGTGGGACTGGGTTTTAGAATAAGCGCCATTTTTCTTTCTTTCTTGTTCTTGATTGTGTTTGAAGGGTTAGTTGTAGAATGTTTGTCATTGTATGCCTCTCTCTACAAGGATTATACACTCGAGAACATTACAAGCATTAATAGTGTTTTTTGTTAGAGGATCAACTCAACCAAAAGCTTAAGCTGATGGTTGAGGCCCAGGAATATGTTTTATACTTTATCACTCCCCCTCACATGAAAGGCCCTCTGGGCTTGAAATGTGGATGCGGCACAGGCCCTCTCATACCCGGCGCAAATTAATTCCACTTTGAAGGAGGGGTGGATGAGATTCGAACTCATGACCTCTATGTCACGTTGGCTCCGATACCATGTTAATGGACCATGGAGTAGGTTGGCAGATGTGGTTACTGCCAGTAGTGGGAAGCGGTAGTGTATGCGATTGCCAACAACGATGGAGGAGGCTTTTCGCGATTGCTACTGTTGGTAGGAGGCGCAAGGTTACATAAAGATTCTAAACAAAAACTTTGAGAAAAGAAAAAAAAAAATCTATATGTGTTTGCGGAAGCATAAAAACTTTGAATATCCCGCAGGTGGGTTTAATTTTCTAACCCACCGGCAGGGTGAGAATTTTTGTATATGATCCCAAGATCTAACCTAAGATGTGATACCATGTTAGAGGACCAACTCAACCAAAAGCTTAAGCTGATGGTTGAGGCCCAGGAATATGTTTTATACTCTATCATTTTTCAATGAGTAAACAGTTCAAATTTTAAATTAAGATTAATAGTGTTTTTCAATGAGTAAACTGTTCAAATTTTAAATTAAGATTTAATTATGTTGTGAAGCATTGTGAGTTGTGACAAAATTGAGAAAAAAATATTGTATGTTTTGTTATGAGGTAAAGTGAGATAAATGTACACAAAATTTGACAATTATATACAAAATGCATGTACATAATTTCTTGTCTTCTGTCACTAATTCTAGGTAGCTAAATGATAGCTAGTAATTTTACATTTATATATACCCGATGAAACGTTTCAATGAAAGATTTTTCTATAGTGATCAAATATAAGAAAAAAGTAGGCTCGCTGAGGTGGCAGATTCATAACCACAATAAATAATTTGTCTCTTTCTGATAACTATCACATGTATTTATGAACAATACCTACATAGTGTTTATTTGATAAATACTGAAATACCTTATAGGTTTTTGGGACATTTCCAAGTAATTTTCTACCAAAGAAAGAAGGGTGGCTCACTAACTTGTATTTCTTATGGTAATAAAAAATAAGTTAATGTGATCAAGTAATTTTGATCACCATTAGTAATATTTTCTAGAAACTACCACTCGTATTTATGGACAATGCCTAAATTATGTTTATTTGACGAATACCTAAGGTGTAATGTAATTATGTTTAGCGAAAATCGAACCCTAAACGTACAACGTTGGAGGTTTAAGGGAGAGTTGAATTGTCATTGGGACGGTTGGTTTTTGGACCGTGATACATTATGTTAATTGTATACATGATGTATTGTGTGGTGTTGGTATTGTTAAAGTGTGTATGTGAAAAGTAACAATAAGTCTAGACCTCATTTCAAGTCAGCTATTGTTAACCCCCTTCAAGTGCTTTGACCACCATTATTGAAATTGCTCATGAAGTGTTCAGTTATAATAAATTCTATTCAAACAATGAACAATGTAGTGTTCATAATAGAACTACTAACACCATTAACGATTTTACCAAAAATGTACACTATTCTTGGTAGACCACTACTAGTAGTAGCGTAACTACTATGAACAATGCACTGTGTATTTACAAGTTTGCCATTTTAATAAACACGAGCTATTTATCAAGATGATAACTTGTATTTTTTTCAACACTTATAATCTTAGATAAAGAAAAATAACTTCATTTATAGTCTACTCATACACACTTACAAATGAAGCCAGCATCATGAGATGCCTTTTGCCTTTGCACAATAAAGTTTATTCAAAACTAATGCTTTGGCTCTTCATAGTTCGATTTCCTCCCGAGAAAATGTCCCAAAAATGACATGATCTCAAATGATCCAACATCGACCCAGCCTAGGCCAAACAAGTCACATATACAGGGTATCTACCCATTTCAAGGTACGTATGCATTGGGCAATATGCATTCATAAAAAAGACAAGAAATAATACTTCACGGCTTTCCAGAGTTTTCAAAGATATAAAATGGGAAAGGAACAGCATAAGGCAGTCAAAACGTGTGTACATCTTCTATCAAAAAACGCTCATACATAATAGAATTGTCCTTCAGTATATCTGGTGGTGACCACATTTTCCACCATGCATCAGATAAAAAGAAACTAGCCTTTATAAGAAATATAAAGTACAAAGAAATGGAATTATTGTCTTGTGTCAAATAAATTGTGTAAATAAATTTCCCAAACAATCTAATTATCTAAGAAATTGCTCATTTTCAAATGCTTCCTTAACTGAAAAGAATAAACAAAATGTCACACATGATATACAATATTTATCCTCTATACTCTAGCCCTCAAAATGCGAATATGAAGGACAATGAATTATCCAAGCTTTATACTCAACTTAGAGTCTGCTGGTTCTTCGCTTTGACGGTCCTCCAGGAAATAGCTTCATTATCCATCCTAGCACTCGCTCCACCACCTAATGGAAGAAGTAACAGGTCAGGATAATTACTCTTATCAATGTTCAGCAGTAGGAACACACAATTAATGATTAGTTTATTTATACAAGTGAAAAGCTTTAGTAAATGTTAAGCAAGCAAATTTACACTATGGAGTCCATGCCCTTTTGCAGAAGAGAATCATTTGGCAAAACTAAGAGTAAAATCTGATACCACTCGATACAGCCTTACTCGAAAATTCCTCATTATTTGCCACTTGAACTTATTTTTCTAAGTTTTGATCTCCTTTTATATTTTGATTGTTTATTTATTAGCCAATTATGAAAAGTCAATTTTATAAACCAGTTTTGAGATATCTGCTGAATTAAGAGCTCAAAAAAGTCAGTGAAATTCACCATCATAAACATCCCCATAAACTCAGCACATTAAGAGCAAAATATGTAGGTATCAATGTATCACCACAATAGGGACATTAAAGAAGCATTCACAGTATGACTCAAGCTTCCCAAGCCAATGACTCCCCCTTCATAAAACAAATAAATAAAGAGCAAAAAAGGTACCTCGTCGCCTTCATCTGCATATGCAACAGTTTCCCGTACATTAGAAGCAGTAGGCTGCTTGGCAGCAATATTCTCACTTGCCATGCTTTGGGACATCAACAGCTCCAGTCGCTGAGTCTGAACTTCAAGCTTCTGAGATAGCTCCTTGTTCAATTCCTTCATATCAAAAGTAACATTTATGAACACAAATAATGTGACAGTAAGGGTGCAGGATTGCAATTAAGTCAATAATGCATGTCACAATACATGCTGGACCCAAGTCAATAGTCTGTTGTGCGGTGCCACTTCACATTAACTAATTTACAAAGACTTACTATGACACTACAGTTTGTTAAGGGTTTTTTAGTTGATTAATAGATTTCTCTTGGAAAAATTTGCTATTTCAAGGTCATACTTCACAAACAATCAGCATATCTAAAATACATACTACTAAGCACAATGGATACGTGGCAATATTCTTTGAAGTTTTTACCCTTTATTTTTACTCCAATATTATATGATACTTTAAAAACCTCCCTAAATCCCAGTATAATTCAAATGATTTCCTTTTATTATCCGTCAAACGTGACAATTCCTATTTGAGAGAGACCCCACTATTATTTTAATACATCTTTTTTCCACTGCCAACAACTTATGCCCTACCTTCTCTTATAATTCAAAAAAAAAAAAAAAAAAAAATTTAAAAAAGACTAAATTTCCAATAAAATAATAACCTACTATCTCATACTTCCTCCATTTCTATTTAGCTGACACGTTGTATTTTGGCGCACATATTTAGAAGTGAGAAAGAAGGTCAAAGACAAAAATACCCTTATACTACCCACCCACTCTTACCAAGTACCACCTAGGAGTACTACCTTTCTCTCTCATCATCACCATTCACCATCATTTTCTTTCCTCCTATACTCACGGTCTGCACATTCATTCTTGATTATTTCACCTTCTATTTTTTTTTTCTTTCCTACTTTTACCAATTAAAACAAAAAGGCACAAATTAATTAGCTAACAGATGAAAATTTCATATTTTTATATACAATTGAAAGTACTATCCTCAATAGCATAGGTGGTTTTGGGAGGCGGCGTCATGGTTGGTGAGGTTTTAGTGGCTAAGTGGTGCCGCGGTCATGGTTTGGCGGAGTTACGAGAAGCAAGGAGAAGCTTTGGGCCATTAATGGGGGTTATTCTTTAGAAAATTGGGTATGTTACAAGGAAGAGAGGAGAGAGAGAAGTGGCAGTGGTGGTTGCTGTGATGGTGATCGTTTCATGGTGATGAATTTGATGATGGAGGTGGAGTGGGGAAGATAATGGAGGCGTGAGAAATCAGTCTTTGCTAAAGGGAGGAGAGTGAAGATGGATTGGGGAAATTGGGGAGGATAAAATTCACATTTTCACATACAAAAATTACCAAAAAGAGAAACGTGTCAACTAAAAAGAAATTTTCCAAAAAGGATTACGTGTCAACTAAAAAAAAACGGATGTAGTATAACATATCAACAACTTATCACCTAAATCTCTATCCGGGTAAATGTTTGAACCATTTTGGGACGGAGGTTTTTATTTTATTTTTAAATCTAAGACAATTCATCCTGATTTTTAGTTCTTCTACTGTGTACTCATATTGGTTGATCTTGCTTAAGAAGGAATTAGGTTCGGGTGGGTCTCATTCATTCATAAAAGAGATTAACAGTCAAAGAAATAAATTGCAACTAAAAAGATATGGAAGTAATACGTAGTATATACATAGGCAGATAGGCCAGACAAAATAATAACTACCTTCAGCTTAGTACTTGTTGAAACTTCAGTAATCAAAGCTTGCATCAATTCCTCCTTTTCTGATATTATCTGCAGCCAAAACTTCTACATTTAGTTACTAAAAAGATACATACCATCAAACAATACATGAGCAGAAGTGATCAGCTACCTCGCTAATTAGTGAATTGATATTTTGTATCATTTGCATTTGGTCTGGAGGGATACTCATAGCAAAATCATCATGACCAGCTAAATTATTTTGTAAAAGCAGCAAGTTGTCTGCATTGTCAACCACTTGCATGTTGGATGAAGCTTGTTCAGAGCTATCTCCAGCAGTTTCACCTACAACAGTGGCAGGATAAGCCGATAAGCCATCAATCACAAGCATATGATTTTTCCATCCATTAAATAATTGGGCATGCAATACTAGAGATATATGGCAATAAAAAGTGGGCTAAAGGAATAATCAAACCCGATATGGGGAGCGTAGTGTAAATTACAAGCACACTAACACCTGCTTTTAAAAATTGGTGACAAAGAGAGATGAGAATTTTGGGATCACAAATACCTAAATCATTGGTAGAAGTTGAAGCATCTTTTTTCTCATGCCCCTTACTAGACTCAATAGAAATTTTACTAGCTGAAGCTGTCCTTAATTTAGACTGAAGCAGCTTTTTCTCTGCAAAATTAGAATGTTTACAGTCAAGAGGAAGTCCAAGCCAAACAATTAGCAAGCAAATAGATCAAATTTCAAGTTGCAAAGAAAAATGCAAGCAATTTCAAGCAACAGCAGTTACAAATTATGATAGCTATTAGAAAAAATGGAATATCACACTTTGCCACTTAAAAAAAAAATATATATATATTAACAACAAAATTAAAATGCACTGTCAGTCTGTAACTACTCAGAAGTTTAATTATGTTGCATACATAAAGGATTAAAAATCAACTTATTACCCTCCAAGAAGTCATAAGTAGCACTTATTTAGCAACAAATGCATCAATAGTCTGCAGCAACTGTATGAGATACTTCTATATTTTATGAAAAGATCTGTATAACTTAAACTACATACCTTCCTGTAAGGCATCAATAGTCTGCAGCAAATCTCGACGTTCTCTGTCAAGGCTAGACATTTTCTTCCTGCATGGCCCACCATACTTAAAACATTACGATTGGAAAAAATGACACTTAATTATACATTTTATTAAAATAAAGAATTAGGGAGCTACAGTACAGAGATGATAATCAGAAAGATTTAACATCATGTTCAAAACCAGAAAAGTCATTAATAATAAAGGATTGCCACATGCATGATATGCACAAGCAAAAAGCATTGAACAACATTTGCAATAGGGAAAAAAAAATAGTCCCACCAAAATTAATAAATCGTAAGAAGTAAAGTTCTATCTCAGAAAGAACCATTTCCATCGTAAAAATTGTAGCTTTTAACATGGGACCCTGAATTTGTGTGTAGGAAATAAAAAATCATAAATACAGGGACTAACAAGGAGATGTCTAGTGATCAACCTATACAAAAGGAGGGCCGAGAAAAATATACACTTCCTCCGTTTCATATTAGTTGAAGTTTCTTTAGACACATTTACCACATGTTTTAAAATGATAATATCTTCAATAATCAATAGACAAAATTACAAAAGCATTTTTCTTTTTCTTGAATTATTAAGGAGCCGGAGGAGGGCTTTCTAAAAAGAGCTTGAGACAAGTAGATATTCAGAAAATATACATTGAGACAAATCCAACTAGACCTCACGGCTCACGTGACAGTTTTTCTCAAGTATAAATCACAAAATGTAATCAAAGTAACTTATGTTAATAGTGCTATATTCAAAACATGTCAACTAATAATAAACGGAGGTAAATACCCACAAGACAATTAAAATCTCCCATAGAAATGAACCTATAGACAAATTACACTCAAATTTATAAAATCAAGCATGACTTATTTACAAATTTAAGTAAAACCAATTCTCATGTCGAACACTTGACAACTGAACAAGATAATCATAAGGTACATTAAAAACACACAACAACAAAGCATAAGAAATAGAATCCATCACAGCAAGGTTTAATTAATAATTTTTCAAATAAAGAATACATAATGTAGTTAACAGAACAACAACTTTACTGATCTTTAACTATAATCACTCATCAGTTATTCTTCAAAACAATAACATAGCAACACATAATTAATATATATATTATATCAAAAAGTATCCTTTCATTTCCATTTACAATTTAAACTTCCTTTATTAATGTAATGTAATGATATAGGGGCCGTTCTAATTGCAAATTGACCACTATTTGTTACATTACTTTCTCCATCCCTAAATTAGATGCCTACTTCTTTTTATTATGTGAGTAATAAATACCAGAAATAGGCATCTAATAAAGGGACGGAGGGAGTACAGAATAGTGGAACAGCACAAAATGCAATTTTTCAGAATCAGTATCTTTCAACATAACTTTGGAACATTTAAAGTAAGGACATTAAAAACATCTATCGAAGGTCAAGGATGACCAATGGAAAAATATGCAAATATACACATGAGAATGTGAGATATGATTCTTATCCAGAAATTGTGAAGGTATAGTCAAATTTAAAAATTCAGGAAAGATAATTTTGCTTATACAAGATCTGCAAACTAAATTTAATAACAACACACGTTTTGTCATGGATTACTACAATAAATCAATAATCAGGAAGCACGCTACTATATTCAGGCCATAAGTATTATTATTCACAGATACTGGAAGCTAATTTAGACACAGTAACAAAGTTACATGTGTTCTACCACCTTTATTAAGAATGATATTCACTGCATGCAGATGTAGGCTGCAACGCTGCCTACCCCCATAAACTTACATCTAGAAATAGGCTGTGTGCCTTGAAAGATAACCCGGTAATAGAAAGTAATACAAAACAGAATCAATACGGAAGCAAGAAACAGTAGAAGCTATGGCTTTTAGAGCTACTGAGGAGGTGAAATCCGTACTTGTAGGAAGCAACTTCAGCATTTGAGTTTTCCAACTCCCTCTCCAACTTCAGCTCATTAGATCTTAATCTAAGGGCCTACAAGATAAAATTAAGACACAAAAAATAACTAAACATATCAGCATTAAAAAAATTGACACACTGAAGCCAAACACATATCAAAAGTCAATGCCGGGCCCATATTTAAGTATTATTTAAAAACATGGATCAATGTTGAAAGGATGTACATCAGCTCAATGTCAACCCATATAATGTTAAAAAAATTCACAAAAATGTCATCGAATATTATGGGCAGCAAATTTCTAAAAAAGAAACGAGATTATAAAGTAATGTTGTATTTCTAACAATGTCCCCTCCCATGACTTTGGTCAAGAAATATACGGTCTGAAATACTACACCCATATCATGTTACAAAATTCACACCTATCTCATTAAATAATATAGCGAACCAAAAAAATTGAGTTTATAAAGCCACGTATTTCTAACAAAGCTCCCTATGTTGGTCAAAATGTATGCCCCTGCCCCCCACCCCTTTTCTCTTTCCCCATCAGAAATTCAGATAATGATGTAATGAAAATCACCTTCTCTTCCAAGCTAATAACTTCAGAAGCCAAAAGTTTTGCGCGCTCATCAGCAGCATCGCACTCAAGTTGTGCGTTCACATATTCAGACTTGATAGCCTCAAGCTCAACCTACTGCACCAAGATGACAGAATTAAAAAAAGCCAAAATATTGGATTGGAAATGTGAGCTTTAGGAAAATAAAATAAACATTTATTTATCATAGAGATGATGTTACTTGATTCATTTTCCTTTGTAATTAAGGGGTTGTTTGGTTGCCAAAGAAAAACATGGGAATTTGGAAATCCTAGGAATTGAAATTTTTTGAATTTGGAAATCCTAGGAATTGAAATTCCCATGAATTTCTATTTCCCACAAAATGGGGGAAGTTAATTACCTAGGGGGACCTAGGTAAGTGGAACTTCCCAAGGGAATTTCCACTTCCCTTAGTTAAGCAAACAATTTTTAGAATTTCCTAGGAAGTTCAATTTCATGGGAAATCAATTTTCCAAGGAATTTGCAATTCCTACATTCAACCAAACGAGCCCTAAAAGTTTATTTTAATGTTCTTTGTCATAAGCATTTCATCTTATACATTGCAAACTCCGTTATATGCCATTGGCATCAAAGTCAGCATAAAAATTATATTGTGGTTTTAAATAAAGATGAGGTCTATGAAGAATACTAATCCCTTCCATCCTATAAATATGGTCATATCTAAAGAGTTCAACAAATAAGAAACATTATATACTGCAACGTTTCCCCTTATTTTGCTTTTGACTAAATGCAATTTGCCATTGAGAGTTATCGCAAATTACATGCTTTAAATTTCAGAAGCTTGACATATATTTTAACTTTTTAAGACATAATAAGAAGACAAAACGAAAACAGGCTACTCTTAGGGGACAATTTAACACCCCCATAAACTCCACATTACAGGCCATCAGCAGGCTTCACCAATAAGCAATAAGTTATTGTCATAGATAGACAAGGATAATGACACTAACCAGCCGGGACTTTATATCATCCTGCAATCTTTCCATCTCAGCCTTTAACTGGCTCACAATGCTTGCCTGAAAGTAGGATAAATAATTTAGTCGACAATTATCAGAGAGCTTAATGCACAGTAGTACTAAAGGAAACAAACCAAAAAAAATAAAAGCTATACAAAACAGAAAGTCAACAAGAGTAACCTCCATTACATCAAAAAAGGCCATCCTACACAACATGTGACAGAGCATAGAGGAATTTTGACTGGCGCAATTAATACTATTTTATCTGGGGACTAAATGACTAATAAGCGAGGAATTAGAAAAGGCTGAATTTGATAGCTCTACCAGCATTAAAAGAGGTTCTCAAAATACCACAGAACTCTCATTTACCACAAATTCATAATAATAGGATCCATATATCTGAAACAGATATAGATCAAATGTTATACACATAGATTAACCATTTGGTGAATCTTGAGACGTGAAGTGTTAACCCAAAAAAACCAAGAAAATTTACTAACCATGTATCCAATCGAGTAAGTCATATGAAATAGTTAAAGTTAACAGAGGAGACACCGACCTGCTGATTATAGCTCTCTGTCAAAGAAGAATTCTCAGCAGCTAATGACTCTGTCAAAGTTTTAGAGGCCTCTAATGTACGCTGCAGAGAAAACTTCTCTTGCGTCAAATCTTCAATGTGCTGCAAGAGAAGGCAAAGGAAATAGTATATAAGTAAAATTACTGGTAGATGTAGATCTGCATTCAAAGCACAAGAAGCATGTCACAGCGAATCTTCTTCTAACCCAATCTCACACATAAACTAAAATGCATATCTTGATTCTTGAATGAAGGTGCCACATTTAGTAACGCCTTAAAAATACAATCCTCCCCCAAGTAAGTATCCAACCTACAACTATAGCAGTTGGAAAGTCCTTTTTGAAAGTAACCAGAGCACACTACCACATCACCTTTGCTAACAAAATATCAAAAACAATATCACTATAGACAACCCTACCTACATATTTCTTCAACGGAAAACCACATTATTTATTACTTTCACCATACGGAATATTAAAAAGGTTTCAGTGAAATTCAGTCATAAAGAGCTTCAAACATATACATGCTCCTAAGTGAGTACTAAATCAAGCATTTCAGGTCATAGATCCATGGTCATCATGGCTAGAAAGTCGTTAAGTACAACTAAGGAGTTATTGAAAAAAAAACTACTGAGTTAACATGCCTGAAATATAATTTACATGCAGCTTCCTAATGATACTCCAGGCATTTCAAATTATAATTCCATTCGAAAAAGAATCAGCAAGAGCCACACAGCCAAGTATAAGGTGATTTGTGATCAAATACATATATGCATATTGAATTTTTTACAAACTGGTATATTAGAAGATTTAGCACAGATATTGTAACGTTGTAATGCATATCGTGACTCTAGATGGGAGGGAAACTCTGATATGATGTATAGAGCAAGTGAGCAAGGAACTTTTCCAATTCAAACAAACATGACTTGTCAGTGAAAATCAGAGAAAAGCAGAAGAGATTTTACATATGGAAAAAGATGCATACTCCATGGCCAAGAAACTGTAAAGGTAATTCTAAACATTGGAGAAAAAGAGATACCTGCTCCAATGCAGCAAAATCTTCATTTTGTTTCTGGGAAGTGAATTCTAGCTTACTCTCCAGGTTGTGCTCAAATGATTTGTGCCCCTTTGACACATCGCTGAAGAAACCATCACTTGGATTAGAATAAACTGATGTTGAAAGGGGTTCAACAGGAGCATATGCTGTAGAAGGATCATGAATTGCAGACGATTCAGCAATATTGCTACTAGGAACCTTTGCATTCATGAACTTGTCATTCTCAACAAAAGGGCGGCTAGATGCAGAAGAATCTTTAACAATGTTAAGAGAATCAAGGAAAGAAGGACGAGATCTTCTGGGATATGGTTCAGCCACAACTGAATGCGAGGGGCCATTAAATAAACTGCTGGTGTTAGAGTTGAAACCTATGGAACGTGTTTCAGATGGCCATTGATTTCCATAACCTGCCAAATTCCCCACTACATTACTAGGTTGTCTTTCCTCCAACCCAAAATGATTCTTCGACTTCAGAAAGCTATGACCAAACTCTGATGCAGATTCTGGCAAATCCAAACGTGAGCGAACAGAATCTGCAATAATAGCAAAACATGTTACATGAAACAATCATAAAACCCATCACTATTTAATTGTCAGGCTACGTTCTTGCTTAAAAAACTCCACTGACCAGACTCCTGATGTAAAACACTGGTGACTTGGCCCTCGGTAGAGACTTTTGCAGCAATATCATTGGTGCTTCCGATAGTATTAGCAAAGCTTGCAGAAGAACTAAAGTCATTATCATATCCATAGAATTTTGAGTGAGAATCACTACTATTATAAACTTGAGAAGCACTGGGTCTGCTAGATGATATTGCATCTGCAAATCTTCCACTTCCTGTACCCGTCCCAAAGTTTCCAATACTGTCATCTGTTTGTTGTGAGAAGTCAGAACCTGCTTGGTAGTTTGAAGCTGGAATCTCATGACTATTTCCCGCTTGTTTTGGAAGCTTCTGAAGCAAATCAGGTGAGCAAGAATTATCACTTTGGGTATCAATGTGTGCATGAGGAACCGAATCAGACCCATTATATCGAGTGAAAACATATGATTTGTCACTGTGTTCAGTATAAACAGAAGCTCCAGTTACTGCATCGGAACTACTGTCTGTATGAGCATTGCCAGAATTGTCAGACGACGCTTGTCCATATCCTGAAGTTTGTTTCGTAGGTGGTGTATCATCATCTGTACGAGGTTGGATACTTGATGCTTGCTTTTTTGAAGCTCCTCTCTTCTTTTTGAACTCTTCCAGCTAAAAGAAACATATATTAGAACAAAACTTTGAGCAGATCGTCCTCGATACAAAACACAATTACATACATAAAGTTACACAACCTAAATAGAATATAATGAGATTGATTAGCACATAATGTTTACAAAGTAACAATAACAACACAATTTGAATCTAGCACAACACACAAAATTTTCCCAGTTATTTCTCGGAGCATAAACAAGATCATTCCTCTTACCCCAGTTCACCGCTTCACTATTGTGCCATGCAAAGGGAGACAGAAGTCACGAGGAGGAGAAAGAAGGTAGGAGAGACATATTTGGTGTTTTCAACCCAAAGTCGCTATTTTATGTGATCTACAAAGTCCTTAGTATCCTTATAAACTGAGAGGTGCTTTCTGAAGCATGAATTTCTGGAATGATATAGCTCCCTAAGTCCCTCGTTCTTTTCCCCCCATTTTTCTCCTCTACTAAAACGAAAGAAAGAAATCTATACTTCCGCACAAAGTAAAAAAGACAAGTGCAATATAACAACCACACAATGCCCAGATAATTAGGTAAAGAGGCTGCATTGATAACACTTCCTGTGCATGTCATGCAGGTTTACATACGAGCAGATTTAATGTCCAGTCATATGCTCTGACTGCATAAAATGATACTGCCAAATAAGGAAGAGAAAGAAAAAGAGACTCATGATGGACTTCCATCTGCGCGGCTGCACCATAGTGGTTTATGGGTTGTGGCAGGGAGCCATAAGTGAAATTGAAAGAGAGTAGAAGGCAGAGTGAACAAAGAAGAGATAAGTTTTGTTCCTGGTTCAAAAGCCCTAGATCTGTCGCATTCTATAATATTATTATCACAACCAACCAATATTCTAACATTTACTCACAAAGTTCCAGTGTAGTATACTTGAATCTGTGTTTATCTAGAAACAGCTAGTGAGCATTCACTACTTAGTAGTTAGTACTATATTACATACATCTTGGCCTCCCCATTCATCACAAATGGGGTGACGAGGTACACATGTAGTGGTGAGCCTGATGGCAGTTGTTAAAGGACATAGACTTAACCAATAGCAAAATTCAAACAGGAATGAAGCTAGAAAAAGATTCAATCATACCAAATTTATACTTATGTATGATAGCAAACAGATTTAAATAAGACTTGAGCATCCAAATCAATTTAATAATCTAGTGTTATTCTCATGTTTGATGTTCCTCCAATTTGGCTATAAGGTCGATAATCCGATCTGATTTTGATTCTAAACCTAATAGCAAAGGTTCATTATTACACTCCCCAAAAGAACTACTGAAGGCACAAAACTAAATCCGAAAGGACAACATATACCATCAACTAAGCATGTAAGTATGTAACATCACAGTTTCACCAATATACCAGCAAAGTTGATGCCACACTAATCAGAGTTTACACTGTTCCACGCTCGAACACTGAATAAAAGAAAGTTACTCTAATTGGAAGCTCAAAGCAAAGAAGTCCCAAGGTATGCACAATTGCACACTCCTAAAGGATCAGAATCCAACATTATCAGCAAAATTTTCAAGCTCAAACAATTCATAAACCAACAGATTAAAACAATAAGTTATTTTCTCCAAGTCAAAAACTTGACATTATCCTGAAATTACAGAGCTTGAACAAATCATATAAAGTACACATCTCTTACCAACAACAATTTAGCCTACTGATCAAAATCGGGGTCATGCTAAATTTAGTTCCCCGGTTCGAATCCCTCTAAAGTTTCGTACACACAAATTAACAACAACAAAAGAAACAATCTAGAAAATATAGCTTAAATTAAACAATCAAAACCCAAAATTGAGGCCATACCAAGCGTCTACCAGCTTCCAAATCCTTCTTTTTCCGGGACGAAACAGCTGGTTTAGATAAAACTTGAGCAGATGCCATCTCCAGAATAAAATCCGCCCCTTTAATTCAGCATTACACAACCCACATTCAAAATTCCAACCCCTTCAAAACCCTTCAATTTTCACCCAAAATTAGCGCAATCAAAATTAATCTGATTAGATTTGTTGGTAATTTGATTCTGATCCAGTCCGCCCAAACAAAATCGTCTGAACAGATCGAATCACACCCCAAAATTGCAATTCAAATTTCAAAATTGATTGTATCTATAGCCCCAAATTCAGCAGATCTCTCTCGATCAAAACAGTAATCAAAATCCCCCAAATCTCCGAAGAAAACAAAGATATGGGGGAGATAGGAAAAAAAAAAACCCTAAAAATATGAGAAATCTAATTTAGGGGAAAATATATAAAACTATAAAAAAAAAATTCAAATTTGTACAACAAACTTAAAGCTGAAAATTGAAAAAAAAAATAAAAATTTAAGTAGGTAAAGAAGTAAAAAATAATGCTCCTTAAATTGTGTGAAATTTAAGGGAGCATGAAAAGAGGTTGATTTTGCTGAAGAAGAAGCGCCATTGATTTTGATTTGATTTGTCGGTATTTTGACACTTCTTAATAATTTAGAGATCTCTCTTTTTTTTTTCTTTTTTTTTTTTTTTTTTTTTTTTTTTTTTTTTTTTTTTTTTTATTGTCAAAAAAAAAAGTGATCTACCCTCTAACCTAAAATAAATACCATGTTAAACGTGTAATTGTTGGGACGTGGTGTAATTTTATTCATTGTTATAACGTGGCATCATCAAGAATAATAACAAGTTTATTAGGAGTAGGATTAAAAATAAGAGAGAAGATCATTGGAGCAACTCTAATGACAAGCTAATTGTCAAATTAGTTTGTCATGTCATATAAGGTTTTAAGGTAATTGTCATTTTAGCTCTAATGGCTAACGTACTAATTAAATGGATCATATCTCCTTAATTTACGTTGATAATTTATTTTATTTATTCTAACTTGTTTTATTTTAGCAAGTTTTTTTTTCCAAACTAATTGCATTTTGTAGCTCCAATGGTTAAGCTAATAGCTAGAGATTATTTAATATTGCAAGCTAGTCACTAGTCGCTAGTTACAACCATTAGAGTTGCTGTTTTATTTTTAAGATTAGTCCTGTTTTATTTTAAGATTTTTTTTTTCCCATGACACATTATAATTTATAGTTATATTAAGGCTCTTTAAGATTTAACTAAATTTAGATCTTCATTCCTCACACTCATTTATTTTTTTATTTTTATTAACAAGATTCCTCAGACTCATTTAAGCTCTCTTAAGTTACAAGCTCTTAAATAGATCTGATTCACATTAATTATTGTGGGCCATTGATAGTAGAGTTACTATGGTCGTTTTATTAAAAAAAAAAAAAAAAAAGGTTACCATGTTAAATAATGGTAATTATGTTAAAATAAAAGTGATTGTATTTTTATAAAGATCATAAGAGTTTAACTTTTTAATGAAAAATTTAACATACTACCCAATATGAATAATATAGGTCAGTAAACTAAAATTAGGGTTATAACGTCATACTTCAGGTTTGCAACAAATTAAAAATAGCACAAATTTTATTAAAGGATACTATATTTAATATTAGGGTCACTATGTTCAATACAAAGCCAGTTGCGCACGTGTAGAACCTCAGGTCCACAATAATATTATTGTGAACCAGGTCCACACAAGTTATTCTGCTCTTAGAGCATACCAAATGGATGACCCAAAATATTTGGTCATGAATTATTATATAATTTCTTTCTCTTTCCACTCATCCATGACCAACTCACATGACCAACCATGACCAAAGACTCCCAATGATTGCCCAAAATTACTTTGGTCATGATTTTCTCTCTCCTACTTTTACTATACCCCACCATATATTCTCTCTCTTCTATCCCACCATATAATTAAAATTGTTGTTAAAAACATAATAATTCCTATAATTGTTGCACATAATTAAAATTTAAAATGCTTAATGATAAATATAATTATACAATAATTGTAATCAATGATGTATTATTGAAGCGCAAATGTAAAATACATGGACACTTAATTTAAAAGCTCGTTAAGTAATAATAATACACGATAGTACGATACACACATGCATGATTAGAACACATTATTTAGCATTAGCTAAAACATACACCAAGCATAATTACTTAAATAAAATACTCTTAAAGGCCTAATAATACATCATTACTGCCTATTATAAGACTCCCCATATCTAAGCCATAAATGTTCCACTAAATCTGACTTCAAGGCTCTATGGGTAACTTCATCACGAACTCGAGCTCTATTAGCCATGTAAGTCTCCAAATTAGCTGGTCGGTTACTACTGTTGCTAAATTGAAATGGTCCTTGAGAGTTTCTTCTACTTGAAGACGGGGGTTCAGCTTGCTCATATTCATTTGGATCATCATACCTTGGATCATAATATCTTGCGTATGTATCTCGCTCATCCTCGACGATCATGTTGTGTAAGATGATGCAAGCTATCATAATTTTTCCAAGCATTGATACATCACGAGCCAGAGCAGGATGCCGCACAATGGCAAAACGAGCTTGTAGTACTCCAAATGCACGTTCGACATCCTTTCGCTGACGTTCTTGCTTTTTGGCGAAAAGACCCTCTTTTTCATTTTGGGGGAGGGATATTGTGGGAATGAATGCCGCCCATGTAGGATATATACCATCAGTGAGATAATATCTCATATTGTATTGGTGGCCATTAACGATATAGTTAACCGAAGGTGCACGACCTTCGAATATATCATTAAATAATGGAGACCTGTCAAGAACATTTATATCACTACACCTACCTGGAGTCCCGAAAAAAGCATGCCAGATCCAAAGGTCTTGTGATGCCACAGCTTCTAAAATTAAAGTGGGCTTATTAGCTCTCCCGGAAAACATGCCCTTCAATCTTAAAGGACAATTCTTTCATCGCCAATGCATACAATCAATGGATCCCATCATCCCTGGAAAGCCTCGACGTTCTCCATCTCGTAGGAGTTTGGCCATATCCTCTTCATTAGGTCTTCTCAGATAGTCGTCACTAAAATAAGAGACATCTCCTTCAACAAAATGTTGTAAGGAGTCTCGCGCAAGAGATGCACTAATCCGTAAGTAGTCGTCAACGGAATCAGCAGCAGTTCCATATGCAAGTAATCTTAAAGTCGCGGTGCATTTCTGCAATGCTAATGCTCCAAATCTACCAGTAGCATCTTGCCGTTGTTGAAAGAACCGATGACGTTCTTCTAAAGTATGCACAATACGGAGAAAGACGTGCTTTCTCATGTGAAATCTCCGACGGAACAAGTTTGGAGGGAACACTGGAGGATCAGCAAAATAGTCATTCCATAAACGGTTGTGTCCGTCTTCACGATCCCTTTCGACCAGCGTCCTTGGTGCCCTTGGAACTTGATTAACCATTTGAAAGAATTCAACTGGATTGGTCATTATGAATTCATCCATCATTCGATCAACAAGACGATTTGCTTGCCTCCGTCTCTCATAAAGTCGTTTGTAGTCATCATCGGAATTTTGATTTGAGTTGGCAGAGGAATTGGAAGAGTTAGAAGATGAGTTGGACGAATTATAACTCTCATACATTTTCAAAGCTAAGGAAGCTACTTTGATGAGAGAGCTAATAGATTGTTGGTTGAGTGAAACCAAATTAAAACATATAGCAATATATAGAACAATGTACGAACTTTAATAATAGTGTGTTGTTGTAATGCTATCATTCATCAAAAATAATGTAATGAAAAGAAGCTTCAATGTGATTTCATATCAATAGGTTGTGTGGTCATTTTTATGACTTATCAAAATCAATAATTGCTTCACTTTTTCAGAAGAGTAAGTCTTTGGTTTTTCCAGTGAACAATCACATCAAATTATACACCATCATTTATCAGAAAAATACAAATACGTAAGTTCATGTGAGCAATGCACAATTTTTGTTATTGTTATATCTCATCAATGTCAGTAATGCCATTAATGCACAACTTTTTAAGAATAGTAAACTATTTAAATATGACAGTCATATATCACATAATAGTACAACTATATTAGAGCTATTAAAAAAAACATAATGACTACACATTAATTGATAATAAATAACAACTTAAACAACATGATTACAACTTCAAGTACAAAAGCGGTTACTAAACAACAAACTAATCATTCTAGAATATAACACTACTACATTTTGAAGAAATAAATTAATTGGATGGGAATAATATCTTCACTAAATTGTTCCTTCGTTCTTGATCCTCTTCTGATAAGTATGGCTTTGCTTCAAGTATCTTGAACAATTCCAAGTTGATTTTCCTTTGCTTTCGTACTTCTCTCTCCCTTTCTAGCTGAGCATTTTCAGCTTCTTTCTCTCTCTGGAACCTCAACTTCATCATCTCCATCTCAGTTTCAGATTTCCTTGTTATGTTCATGTTTTGAATAGTAAGCAACCATTGCTGAGAATTTTCCGTCTCCATGTTCATAACTTTGTTCTTACCTTTATTTTTGGTACAATCATCAATAGAGGGGAAGCCTGAACACCCAGCATCACCACTGGTCGGTGTATCTGGGTTTGTTGAAGACGAGTAATTACCAGCTTCATTAATTCGAGATCTCTTTGAAACACTGGACTGGGTTGCTGTCTTCTGCTTACATGTCTCGACTGGATCTTCATTTTTCGCCCATATTTGTTCATTTTTCAGAATATCCCAAGCATGCATATCTTGGAAAACTCTACTGGTATTTTTCCTAGTTTTGTCATCTCTATAAATTCTACGCGCAATCTTAATAACATCGTCGTCAGAGTGACCACTTCCTCTCCTTGATGCAGCATGTGCATACGCACCAGAAAATTTTGAACAATTAGCACTTAGCCTTTTCCACCGACATCTAAGTGGCTCCAAAGCCCTTACTCTTAGCAAATCATCCTTCTTAATCTCTTCAGTACCTTGTTCAAATTGCCTCTCTCTAAATAATCTAACATTATTAAACATTGCCTCAACTTTTGCCCAGAATTCATTCCCCTTTTGGTTGGTATTTGTTTTTTTATCTTTACTTACCTCAAGCCAAGCTCTCACAAGGACCTCATCTTCAGCGTGCGACCAAAAATTCCTTCGATCCGTATTGCCTCTACCTTCGCCTCCTACATCCCCAACTTCATTTTCTTCAGCTTTATCATCATTATCGTCATCAGAGTCAGCAGTTGATCTATATGACCAATTAAAATTTGAATTTGCACCTTCACCTTCTGACATGATAAAATGTTGCGACATAGGGAAGGATTGTTTCATTTTCAGCAAATTGACGATTTTGAAAAGGTGAGTGTCCTTCAGATGGAAGAACATTTTGAGAATATGAGAAGTTAAGAAATTGTTATGGTCGTAAAGGGAATTGTGATATAGAACTTGGATTTGTGAAATTGATGTTATTCATTCCATAATTTGGAAACTATGGAAAAATTTGTGAGTTTGGTTCCACTTGAGAGTTGAGATCTATTTGATAATCAGAAAATGAAGGTTGAGTATTTGAATTTTTTTTCGATTTTGAAGGATTTTTTTTTCCGATTGGATTTATCCATATTCAATAGTTTTTTGGATTTTGTAGATAAAAAAAATTACTTTAAAAGGAATGAATTGAGCTAAATGAAGAAAATGAGCTAAATGAAGAAATTGAGCTAAATGAAGGAATTGAGCTTAATGAGAAGTTGTTCAAAAATACCTCAATATTGGTCTCTTTTTATAGAGAAAAAAAAATAAAGACGTTGGTAATTTTTTTTTTAAAATTTGTATTTTTTAATTTATTACCGTTGCAAAAATTTGCAATGATAATAATCTAGCCGTTGTATGCATGCGTGGTGTCATCCAACAATATTGTCGTTGGTGTCATATGTTGCAAGTACATGCAACTTTTCCTTTTTCTTCCTCCAATTATAACCTGCCACTTGTCATTTACATTTTCATGACCACATTTCTAGTTTGGTCATCTTTAAGACCTGGTCATCACTTTTTTCATCAATTTTTTCTTTGTTTCATTTTTTTAATACAAAAACTCTACTCTCTCTCCTCATGACCAAAGACTTGGTCATCCATTGGCCCCACTCTTAAGTATCCTGCCTTTTAGAGCATCATTAGTGTTGGGGATACTTATATTCTTTCCCGGTTTCTCTCTCCTTTCCTACACTTGACACATCACTTTCTCTTTCCTCCACATCACTTCCCACTATTTCCATCCTTTTACTCATCCTTTCCCTTCAAAATTTCCAACATCAATGAGTATCCTTTTCCACTTTCTCTCTCCTACTTACATATACCCCACCATTTATTCCTTTTTCAAATTACATATATTTATTAATATACTTAATTATTATTATTGTTGAAAATGTTGTTAATAATAATTAATAATAGATCGTTCTATTAACCGACACATTAATTAAACGAAACGAATTCAAAAACATAAAATTCATTGATTAAAAACATGAAATACATTGATTAAACGACACGAATAAAAAAAACATGAATTACGTTGATAAAAATAGCAAAGAAAATAACAAGCATAAGTTTAAAAATAACTGAAATGTTTAATTTTCATCGGACCTCATAGACTGTGCCCATAAATGCTCGATCAAGTCGTTCTTCAAAGCCATATGGACGTCTCTATCACGAATTTCCCCTCTCGAAGCTATCAATCTACCGAAATTATCTGGATCATACTGTCCGGGAGTTACGGTGAATGTTGTTGTATTCCTAGTTGAGGACGACCCCGGCATATTCTCAGGCTTTTCATCGGCAAACTCGAGTGGATCCTTATAATTTAAATATGTATCACGCTCGTCTTCAACAATCATGTTGTGGATAATGATGCAAGTCATCATAATTTTCCACAACAAATCTACACTCCATGCCAAAGCAGGCTTCCTGATTATTGCGAAACGAGCTTGTAACACACCAAAAGCACGCTCAACATCCTTTCTCGCACTCTCTTGACGTTCAGTAAATAACGTATCCTTAGCTATTTGAGGGGCAGTAACCGCATCTATAAATGTCGACCACTTTGGATAAATCCCATCGGTGAGATAGTATCCTTTTGTGTAAGTGTTTCCATTAACTGTGAACAGAAATTGTGGAGCACGATTATTTATTATATCATCAAACACAGGAGAACGTTGTAGTACATTAATATCATTGCACGACCCAGGAGTCCCAAAGAAGGCGTGCCAAATCCATAAATCCCTAGATGCAACCGCTTCCAAGATAATAGTGGCCGTTTTAGATCGGCCTTGATACATTCCTTTCCATCCAGCTGGACAATTTTTCCATACCCAATGCATGCAATCAATGCTTCCTAGCATGCTGGGGAAGTTTCTATCCTCCCTTTCTCTTAGAAGACGCTGGATATCTTCCATTGTTGGCTTGTGGAGGTACTCAGTTGCAAACTGAGCAATAACTCCATCGACAAATTGTGAAAGACATTCTCTAGCAGTACTTTCACCAAGCTTTAGATATTCATCTACTTGATCAGCTGAACAACCATAAGCTAACATACGTATAGCCGCGGTGCATTTTTGAAGGGGTGAAGCACCAAGACGCATGGTAGCATCGGGACGTTGTTGGAAATAGCGATTACTTGCACTTAATGTGTCCACAATGCGAAGGAACAGGGGTCTCCTCATACGAAACCTCCTTCGAAATACGGTATCATTGTATACCGGTTGATTACTAAAGTAATCTGCAACTAGATTGTCGTGAGCCGCTTCACGATTTCTAGGCACAGTTACCCTTTGTTTTCTCGGATGTTTTTGCTTTTCAGGTTGTAATGAATTAAGCACTGAATTTTGCATCGCAACTAAACGTTGACTCTCATTTATAAAATTCATGACCATGTGATCATAAATTTTATCAGTTATACTTGAGGAGGAAGAGCTTGAAGAACTTGAAGAGATTGAATCTAAGCTCATATTGTGTTTGGTGTTTTATTTTTGGTGTGTTTGTTTGTGACACTAGAAGATAGAAATCATGTACTTTAAATAGACAAAAATAGGATATTGTTGGTCAGAAGATAAGATTTTGTTAAAACATAATTGTTGCACATAAGATATGGATAAGATAAGGATTGTATGGTGAGAATTATGACCAATGCATGCAGAATTTTGTAAGGTCAGTTTTTTTACCAATGCATGCATGAGTCTTGTCAAAAGGTAAAAGATACATCATAGTTTTAAAAACAAATTAAAATACACTAATATTAATTTAATACATAAACAACAATAACAACACTACATAAACATCAACATTACTAGTAGCACAAACAATTTTTTAAAAAAATAACTTGCGTACCTTACAATACTTAATTAAAATACAAACATTGCAAATACTAAAATGAAATTAAAGCGAAAACCTACTACTAAATTCGTCTCTCAGTTTGTTATACATTGCTAATTCCTTGTCATCAAGAACGGGCTTCTACATTAACCTTTCTAACATTCTGAACTTCATGGCCTCCTCCTTCTGCCTTTTCTTTTCTTCTACCCGGGCCTTTTGTTCTTCATCTCGTTCTCTCATCTGATCAAGTAGTCGCTCTCCCAATTGACCCAATTTCTCTCCCATGTCATTAAAATTTGTATTTTAAGAGTCAAGATTTACACTTGACGAAGTACTTGATGCTTTACCTTTCATCTTTGTCTGTTTTATGCCAAGAGGTCTTTTAGCCCTTCCGCCAACCTCACACTGTGAATCGGGTTGGGATCTTTTACCGCTCCCCCCACTATCTGTAGATGCTTGACCACCCGGTAACATATCGGACTGAACTTTGGACAAGGAGGGATCCCATTTGGGGTATTTCCTCAGAATTGCAAAACAATGCAAATAACAAAACATCTTATTGTTAGTTGCTTTGTAATCTATGTGAGCGAATCTCTCCAAATTTTGCTCAGATTCACCACTACCCTTAGTTCTAAAATGATAACCGTAGGCGTCAACCCATTTACTTACATGTTCATTTATGTGATCCCATCGATTTTGCAAAGATTTAAAGTTTCTTACCTTAATCTCATTGAGATTTTTAGCTCTAGCCTTTTCGTACTGGTTGTGAATTTCTGCCCATAACCCGCTTCTCTTGGTCTTGGTTCCCCTCTCCACATCGCATCCTGCATTTATATAGGCTGATACAAGAGCTTTGTCTTCGGCGATACTCCATGCTTGGTTTTTCCTTTGTGCAGATGTATTGAGTTGCACTTCTGGAACAATTTCGACTTCAGCATTGTCAATCTCTTCAAGATGTTGTGCTCCCGCTAATTCTTCAACATGTTCACCACTTAACTCTATTGGAGTAGCATTGCTACTACAAAGTCCACCTGGAGATTGATTCATGTTTTGAGTTAAATGTTCTGATATAGGGAAAAAAGGGGTATTACCAAAAGCTTGTTGATAGGATTGGGAATTATGAGGAAAATTTGGTTGTATTGGTGGAATATTATTGAAATTTGTTGGCCTTGGTTGACTACTACACCATTGAAAAAATGCAGCTTGAATTTGAGGATTACTCAACAGATTAGGGTCAACAGGAGGATTAGATTGGTTAAATTGAAAGTTTGAATTGTTAGGAAAATTTGGGTTACGACCGTAATTAGAATTATTACGATCCATATTAAAGACTCTAAGAAATTGGAAGTGAAATGGAGAAAAATAAACTTGAAAATATGGAGATTAGAATAATTTTGTGTTTAAGAGTATTGTACAAGTGAAACTGAAATTTTGTGAAAATATAGCAAATTTATACTCAGTTTATAGACAAAAAAATTTTATGACCGTTGGTGTTTTCGGATTTCAAAAATAAGTTACCGTTTGCAAATTATAGCCGTTATAATATTTTGGAGCAAAAAAAAATAAAGAAACAAGATGTTGACAAGTGTCAACAAGTTGAGCGTTGGATGATTTCCAATATATATGCTTTTGTTTGTGATTGTTGAATTAACATGGCACTTGGGCCGAGGCGAGATTTCCTTTCCAGAGAAAGGATACTACAATATCCTTTCCCTAACAATTATCTTTCCCAAGTAATAGAATCCATCAGGATTGGGAAAGGACACCAAAAAGCCACGGAAAGGATTGTAAAAGGCCTTGATGCTGGTGCTCTTATTTTCCTTTTTTATATTTGATATTTTAATAGTATAAATTTGTAATGGTGTCATAAGTTACACATGTTACATAACTAAAAAATAATATCAAACCACTATGTACAAAATTTTAAATAATAATAAAATTACATAAATATTGTGACATATATACATCGAAATTCTATAGCGCCATAATATTTACATTTTGTATAATTTAAATTTGTATAATAGCAATTAATAGAATACTTTAGATTGCAACAAAAAGTAGCAAATTAAGGAATACATCCCCTCCCTACCTTATAAAAAGTGCAAACAAACTCTTATGAACAGTGTGATTCCATTTATACCCCTAAAAAGATTATTTACATTTTTACCCTCATTTAAAGTTTTGAACTTTTAATACCTTTTCCTTATCTCTCCTTTATGTTACTCTGAGTAGTTCATCTTCTCTAAAGTCTCAAACATGATCCTTATCTCTCCTTTATATTACTCTGACTAGTTCATCTTCTCTAAAGTCTTAATCATGATTTTTTGTTTTCTCTTCCTCTAATATAATGTCTAACTCCTTAGCTTGATGGCACATCTTCTTTCGAGGTTCCACCATGCTTGATTAAACATGGAGTTTATGCTTCCATTGCTTATATGACTTGTGCTGGTAATTTATTTCTCTTTCTTCTAGGTTGAAAATTTGTGATTTTTTTTCTTTGGTATAATTAAACTAATTATTTGTAATTTTTGGTCATTTTTATGGTATATGATTGTAATTTCAGAGGAATGTTTTGAAATGACGAATTGAATGTGTTGATAAATTGATTTTGATTTCATGATCTGAGGAATTCGTGTATGATTTTTCCCTATAGTTATGGATTAAATATTTTGAGGAATACATATTTTGAGCTTGAAATTCGTCTTCAATTAATTGTTTGTTGAATTCGACATTGATTGATTATGTTCAGAATTCCATTATAGGAAGAGGGAGGGTCTTTTTTGGTTGGAATTACTTTATTTGAGTGTGATTGATTTATAATAGGTTCAGAACTACTAAGGCATTGTTAATGTTGTAGTGTAATTGATAGCAGGTGCATAATGTCGTGATAAGGTAGGTTCATAAACCAATTACAAAATAAACTATAAGATTGAATTATATAGTACCTTATGATTGGATTATTTGGTATTGTTGTGTTTTCTATATTGTGTAGATGAGAAGGTAAAGAAAAATTTGGATTCTTATTATTACTTTATTGGTAGTTTGATAATGGGATCAAGTTAGCAACGAAATTCGCTCCAATGTTAAAAAAAAGGAATTTGTCATATGTATCCATTGCAAGTTTGCAACTGCTTGAATTTATTATGATGCTATATATTTACATATTATGTATACTGCTTGAATCCATACCCAAGTTATGATGTATGTGGCTAAATTTTGATCAAAATTTGAATTAAATTAGGATTTTTTTTCATCAGTTTTTGGTGAATATGAGTATGTTACTAAAGAATGGCCTTTTTAGGTTTATTATATTGCATCAAATTATTCTCATGTTTCAGGACACTTAGGCATGATTGAGCTCCATTATCCATGCTTTTAATTAAATCTCATACATTAAATCACGTCCTTTGTTAAAATGTTGTTGTTTGTTAGTAAGTGGTGATATATAGTTGCAATACATTATTGGAAATCAATCTCTGATAAACACCAAGATCGAGGACATGATACACTTCTACAAAAATTAGATTAAAAAAATGCAAAATATAGAACGGTTAACAAATTAGATAGGCGTTCACTGCAATAATATTGTAGAAGAGGCGTTTTATGAGTTAATGAATATAGAACAACTCTTATAGTTGACTGTTCTCTATTAGTTTATAGCAAAAATAAATAAATTGTTAATAACTTATGTTAAACAATATACAACGGTGCACTTGACAACACTGTTTTGTGTATTAATATTATTATTATTTAATAGAGGGATTGATACATTTCTCAAATTTTCGAAGGACAGGCAAAAATGGCAATAAATGGTAAAATGGACGGCTAGTTGTTGGTTGTCACAATCGAAACGAGTTCGTTCTTATCAATAATGTTGATGAAATGATGATATAGGCAGTTTCTTAAACATTCAAGAACTTTGTTTTGGTTATAGAGTAATGGGTTTTACTAGAATTCAGAATATAAATTTAATTCGACTACATATGCGGTTAATTGAACTGATTTATGTTCTTGATTGTAAATTTCTATCGGTAATTTGTAGGACATGTAGGTTAGGTTAATTGATTTTTTTTTTCCCTTTTTGAGAACGAAAGTGATGATAATATAAATCAAAGAGAATTATCAATTATGTTACATAAATTTTCGCTAAGGTTTGCACGCCTTACAGAATGAATCCAAGAACACTTGTTCTACCCCATCAAACGGAAGCAATCAAGACTCCCCATCTAGCTGCCAACACCACACGCCCATCACATTTCACCCTCTGTACAACCACTACAAGAAGCTGCCCGTCCTCTCCTTTAATAAAGTTTTGTTTTTTTCCTTTTAGCTCATAGATTATTGAACTTGTAACAATTTTGACTCAAAAATTCTAGGATATAAACTTGGTTTTTCTGCATTTTGGTGGGTATCTAGAACTATGAGTTAATAATCCTTTCTCCATTGTAATTTTGGTGTAATTACAGGTGATATATATGAGAATTAATTGAGTGGACATCTATGTCAAATTTGTCGAGATGAAATAAAATGTGATGGAAATAGTGAATCATTTGTTGCTTGCAATGAGTGTGCATTCCTACTATGTTTAGCTTGCTACGAGTATGAATGAGGCAAAGTAAATCAAAGGTATCTAATT